TCTCGGCCCTCTGACCGCGCCGGGAATTTGCTCTGGTTCACTGAGAGCTCTGGTCATTCCAGAACTGTGCCTGTGGCAGCAGCGGCGTCCCGGGGCCGCTGGCTGGGCCCTGCTCGTGGGTGGCTGGGGGGGGCTCACCGGGCACGGGGCCTGTGCCACTGCCACAGCCACGTCTGACGGGAGGTAACCCAAAGAACAGGGTGAAAAGGATGCTCCGCTTCCTGTGAAACCAGGATGCCATCGATGGCAACACCAGTTCTCTTTTAGCATAGTGTCACTGGCCACACTGAGCAAGTGACAGTGGTAAGTCTACAGGCAGAGGGAACTTAACTTAGGCTTTGGTAACTTTCCTCTAAAACCAGCCACACCAGGGCTGCGTTTCCAAGGCCCCCACAGTCAAACCAGAGCCGGACAAGGCCAGACGAAAGGCTGCAGAGAACCGGGAACGGTGCAGCAGGGGCACTCGGTGCTGTGGTGACACGCCAGCTCGACTCAGGCCCCCCCGAAGGACTGACGCCCCAGCACTTGAGGCACAGCACCTACCCGAATGTCGTAGTGATCCTTCAGGCCATCCTCCACGTGGTTCAAGTACTCGTAAATATCCAGTCGGTCGAGGCAGCTCTCCAGCAGCGTGTACATGCACTCGAAAGCAGCTTTCCTCACGTCAAGGCCATCATCCACTGTGTGCTTGAACGGCCCCATTTCTACCTTAAACAAGACAAACCGCACCACAGTCACGTCACAGCAGACAGGGGGACAGCTTCACCTCAGCTTCATGTGCACCGAGTCGCTGCTGTGCCGCGCCCACGACGTACCTCCCGGATGAGCTCCCTCCTGACCTTCGTCTCGTTATACAGGCTGGGGAGAACTGCACTGAGTAAATCTCGGATTAAAGAAGGTTTGTTGTGAGCAGCAGAATTAAACATGGCTAAAGCCACACGTCGAACGTTCAGGTCTGGATCCTGAAGAGTTTTTAAGAAGTCACCTGTGGGATAAGAACACACCGGTCTGTCCTGCTGCAGTGTTTTACAAGTACTTTTAAAAGTATATCTGTATTTCAAGGAGCCAGCTTTGGAGTTGGTAAAATAACTCCAGGGGTACAGTCTAGCAGAGACACTCAAAATGCTTTCCCTCCCTTCATTTGGGAGGAGAAACCATGGAAGAAACATGACTTTCCTGCACTTGGACATAAAAACAAACCAAATGATTCCAGCTACCTGATCCTAAAGTCAAACCAGAGGCTTCAGCATTCAAGGAAGTTGGGTTTTATTTTCTGCTCACACTTCTCTGAAACAGAAGGCCCAATTTTATACAACAGATCTGGAATGTAGCCTCCCTAGACATGAGAACCTTTTAACACAGGTTATATTTTCCAAGATCCTTATCGTAAGTTTAAACGCAGAAGGAACTCAGGCTCCCTAAAATCCTGTCACCAATGGAACATACCCAAGGGCAAGGCATTGGAGCACTTAACAAGGACTCACGTGCCAGTGTTGCTCTGTAATCCCCAAAACAGAGAAACGCTGACAAAAAAGTAGCTGGATTAGATCATGTAGGTGTGGGAAATTCCTGAGCTGCCACTGACACCACACACCTCGCGCTGCCAGCTCGTGCCGCGGTTGGCAGTTGCCTACCTATGCAGCCTTTGAGGAAGGCATCGATGGGCTGGGGCTGGTCTGCAATCGTGAATTTGACGGCAGTGACCACCGTGCTCCGGGCATGGGGAGAGCCTGCGATGGAGATGGAAGTTAAAAACAGAGAGAAGATCAAGAGACGAAATCACTGCAGGAACTTCACAGTACTCTTCTCCTGGTCACATTACACATGCACTGAAGAGATAAGAGAACAGAAGATTTGTCTTAACAACCTCCTTGTTTAAATCCCGCTGCCGCGCAATCTCCACGCACAGTCCCTGTTCCTAACACTCTCCTCCCCGCCAGGCAGGAGGATGTCCCAGCAGAAGAAAGGATTTCCCCACTCCCACCGTTCCCAGTACCTGAAGACAGCTGTTTTTTCAACCGGGGCAGCAGCTCCGAAGGATCCACCAGGGTCAGCTTCCCCAAGCACTCGGCCACCACGTTGCGTGTCCCTTCCTCCGTGCACTCGCAGTGCTTGAAAAGCAGAGCCCAGATATCCTCCACGTGAGGTTTGAGGCCGTCGGCCGGGGAGGAGCTGATGACTTCTTTCAGGGAGTGCAGCAGCAGGTACTGTCTCTTGGGCTGGCTCCCAATCTCTTTCAGCATGAAGGGAAGATACTCCTTCAGATTCCCAACACTGATGTTCCCCAACGCGTAGGAAGCGGCGGATTTCACCTCCTCGCTGGGGGAACTGAATGCTTCCAGGATGACGGTTTTGAGCTCTCTCTGAGCACTGAGGTTCGTGGTGCGCCCCATCTCTGCCAGCGAGAGGAAAGCTAGCACTTCCACAGCAGAGCTGGACTTGGGGCTTTTTATATCCTGGACGAACCGGTTCACTGTCGCAGGGGCTTCCTTGGGGCAAGCCAAGGAAAGGGCTGCCACGCACTTTGCCACAGAGTAATAGGCCTGCTTGTGTAACGTCACCGACGCCCCGGCTGAACCTGAGGAGTAAATCGGCGCCGTCAGCTGCTTCATCAGCTCCGAGTAGCCCACGGTGGCCACCTTCGTCAGAACCAGAGCCTGGAAGAAGTCTATGATGGCGCCCAGCGCCCCTCCTTGAAGCAAAGGAGAGTGGACAAGCTGAAAGATTTCAGCAAGAACTGCTCCACTGATCTTAGAGATGCAGGATGGGTAAACTTTAGCCAGAGTAGTGAGGAACGCGACAGCCACCTGGGAAACGTGCATGTCGTTCTCAGTAATTAACGCGGGGAGCTCCGTTAGGACAGACTCGATCATGGCAGGCTTGAGGCTGTCGCTGTAGTTCTTCACCAGGATGTCCAGAGCAGTCAGAGTGCTCAGTTTCAAGGCACGTTGATTCTTTCTCAAGAAGGAAGCCAGAATGGGGAAACCTTCCCCTAGGATGGGTCTCAGATCTATTTTAAGTGGAGAACTAGCAATTAAGGTTAATGCTTTGACAGTTGTCAATCTGGTGATTTCATTTTTGAGCCTCTCCAGAAAGATCTTCAAGGTTGGCTGGAGATCAGAGCTTAAGTGGTCTCCCATACTGTAAATGATTTGTCCCATGCAGGAGATGGCACGCTCTTTCACCTCCTGGTCGATGTCGGCTGCCTTCAGTCGCTTCAGAGTACCAGGGAAAATGTCCTTCACGTAGGGCTTGGCATCAAAAGTGCAAGATTTGTCCAGAGGCCTGATAACCTTCACAAGCTGCTGAGTAACCAGCAGAGCTTCTGAAGTGATCTTATAAAAGGGGTCACCAATACAGCTCACGACA